AGGGTTTTTGTGAATTCCTGATCATTCCCACTCCTCCACTCTGCTTTTTTCCACAGTTGGAGGTGAAAATGCAGGTGGAGTACATGTCCTTCAGCGCCCACGCCGACGCCAAGGGCATCATGCAGCTCATCCGCCAGGCCGAGCCCCGAAACGTCCTCCTGGTGCACGGGGAGGCCAAGAAAATGGAGTTCCTGAAGCAGAAAATTGAGCAGGAATTCCGTGGGTACCCATGGGAAGGGATGGCTCTGAAATTGCTGTGAAATTGGTGAAAAATTGCAGCGAAATTGCAGCGAAATCGCAGTGAAATCGGCGAAATTGCAGCAAAATCGGCTTTTGGGTTATGGGTTTTGATTATGGTGCAGGAAGGGGATAAAAGGGTTTTATTTTGGGGTTTTGATGCACAGGCATGGGGAAGGGATTTCCTGAAGCAGAAAATCGAGCAGGAATTCTGTGGGTACCCACGGGAGGGGACGGCTCCGAAATTGCCTCGAAATCACAGTGAAATCGCAGCAAAATCGGCCTTTGGGTTATGGGTTTTGAATATGGCACAGGAAGGGGATAAAAGGGTTTTGTTTTGGGGTTTTGGTGCACAGGCATGGGGAAGGGATTTCCTGAAGCAAAAAATGGAGCAGGAATTCCATGGGTACCCACGGGAGGGGACGGCTCTGAAATCACCATGAAATCGCAGCGAAATCACAGCAAAATTGGCGAAATCACGGCAAAATTGGCCTTTGGAATATGGGTTTTAGTTACCCCCGTTAGTGCAGGCACAGGGAAGGGTGTAAAAGGGTTTGGTTTTGAGGTTTTGGTGCACAGGCATGGGGAAGGGAATTCCTGAAGCAGAAAATGGAGCTGGAATTCTGTGAGTACCCAAGGGAGGGGACAGCTCCGAAATCGCTGCGAAATCGCCATTAAATTGCAGCGAAATCGGCCTTTGGGTTACGGGTTTTGATTATGGCACAGGAAGGGGATAAAAGGGTTTTATTTTTGGGTTTTGGTGCACAGACATGGGGAAGGGAATTCCTGAAGCAGAAAATGGAGCCGGAATTCTGTGGGTACCTGCAGGAGGGGACGGCTCTGAAATTGCTGTGAAATTGGTGCAAAATTGCAGCGAAATCTCAGCAAAATCGGCGAAATCGCAGCGAAATCGGCCTTTGGGTTATGGGTTTTGATTATGGTGCAGCACGGGGATAAAAGGGTTTTGTTTTGGGATCTCAGGTACACAGACATAGTTAAGGTTGTTCCTGAAGGAGAAAATGGAGCAGGAATTCCATGGGTACCCAAGGGAGGGGACGCAGCGGCAAACACCCGAATAAAGGGTGTAGGAAATGTTTAAAAGGGTCTATAAAATATATAAAAGGGTCTATAAAACATAAATATATCTGTTATAAATAGGTAAAATATAAAAATATATAACAAAATATATTAGTATTTTTATGAAATATATATAAATTGAAAATGGTATCAATTATGTAGAAAATTTACTATATGCTCATATATGAATATATATAAATATGTGAACAAATATATAAATATATGAATATATCTATAAAAATAAATATTAAAATAGATATGTATTTATTTATAAACATAGATATAAAAATCTTATCTATATATATATAAAAATTCAAAAACGATCAGGCATCACTCAGCAGAATTAGGTGGGGTGGCATTTCCAGCTCTCCTATAGGAACTGCTGCCATAATCCCATAATTAACCCTAATTAAGCACAGCTAATTGGAGCTGTTCTCTGCAGATGTCAGCTGCTTCATGCCTGCCAACGGAGAGACCACGACCATYGTCACCAACCCCTGCATCCCCGTGGACATCTCACTGGGTCTGCTCAAGAGGGAGGCGGCCACAGGTGACACTTTCCTACTTTTTTCTTTTTTTTGTAGTCCTAAAGTTGGGTAGAAAGCTGTAAAATTGTATTTAATAATTTATTAGATATTATAAATATTTATAGAATAATATTATAAATATTATCTTATTAAATACGTATCTACCATATTATTAAATATCAAAAATGCAACATTGTAAATATTAGCAACCTATAATTTATATATTTAATTATAACCTGTTAATTACTATTATAATTGATTACTAAATCTTTATATAATATTGCATACAGGAAAATCGTTATATATTATGAATATTATTTATTATGAAATTTAATGTCATATTGTTAATATTATCTAGAATTTATTATATATTATAAATAGAATTTGTTATTGATTCCTACATACTATTATTAAAATATTATAAAATTTATTCTGTATAGTCAGTATGATCTATTATTAAATTTTATGTAATATTCTTAAATGTTAGATTGAAATTTATTACATCTTTAAACTTTTTATTAAATTTTTATATAGTATTATTAAATATTACATGGAATTTTATTATATTATAAGAACTATATTTAATAATACATTTCAAACCACCTGCACATGCCCTGCCTTGTTTGCTCCCCACTTGTGCTCAGTTTGGAAAAGCTAAAATTACTTTATAAACTCAATTTTAAACAAAATTAATCCAATTTTCACACCAGGAAGCACTCTGGGACAACAGAGGGGAGCAGCTCTCAATCACTGAACATATTAATATCAATATTTCTGATAATTATTAAGCAGAATCAATGCACTTTGAATAAATGAGAGGAAAAAAAGGTGTAAAATTCAAATATCTGAGCCTGGGCAGGGCCTCAGAGCCCCCAGAATGGATTTTTTTGGGGTAAAATCTCTTTTTTTTCCTGCCCTGCAGGGCCCACACCCGACGCCAAAAGGCCCAGGCTGATGCAYGGCACGCTGCTCATGAAGGACAACGTGAGTTACACGGCTTTTTTGTGGTTTTTTGTGTCTTCTGGGGTGTTTTTTGGGTCCTCAGAGTGTTTTTTTGTTCCCTGAGGGTTTTTTTTGACCCCTGAGGGTGTTTTTTGATGTCCTCTGAGGGTGTTTAGTCTCCCCTGAGGGTATTTTGTGTCCCCTGAGGGTATTTTTTGTCCCCTGAGGATGTTTTTTGTACCCTAAGGGGGTGTTGTGTCCTCTGAGGAAGTTTTTGTGCCCTCTGAGAGTGTTTTTTGTCCCCTGAGGGGGTTTTTGGGTGTCCCCTGAGAGTGTTTTTTGTCCTCTGAGGGCTCTTTTGTCCTCTGAGGTGTTTTGTGCCCTCTGATGGTGTTTTGTGTCTTCTGAGGGGTTTTCTGTGTTTTCTGAGGGATTTTTTGTGGCCCCTGAGGAGTTTTTTGTTCCCTGAGGGGGCTTTTTGTATCCTCTGAGGAGTTTTTTGTCCCGAGGGTTTTTTTGTCCCCAGAGGGGTTTTTTGGGTGTCCCATGAGGGTATTTTTTGTCCTCCGAGGGGTTTTGTCTCCCCTGAGGTTTTTTTTGTCACCTGAGGGTGTATTTTGGCTGTCCCTTGAGGGTGTTTTTTGTCCTCCTCACCTCATCTTTATTTTTAACTCAAACCAACTTCCAAAATCTGTAAAATTCTGTTCAATTTGGTGTTATTTACATTTATGTTTTACCCCGGGGTCACCTCTCCCTTCACCACCCACCCTCAGCACAGCCAAACACACCCAGGAACACCCTCCCCACCCCTCAGGGCACCACCACAACACCCCAGGGGCTCACAGGAGCAGCTTTTTCACC